CAGTCTAGGAGGCCAGAAGTCTGAATTCAGGGTGCCAGCTCCAGGGGAAGGCTTTCTCTCTCTATCGGCTCTGGGGAAAGGTCTTGTCATCAATCTTCCCAAGTCAACAGCTTCTCAGCACAAGGACCATGGGTCCAAAGGATCTGCTATTTTCCTGGCTTTTGTTTCTTGGTGGATGAGGTCCCCATGTCTCTCTACTCGCTTCTCTCTCTTATATCTGAAACGAGGTTGACTTAAAACACAACCTAATTGTCATGGATTGAATTATGTCCCCCAAAAAATATGTGTATCAATTTTGCTGGCCATGATTCCCAGTATTATGTGGTTGGCCTCCATTTTGTGATTGTAATTTTATGTTAAAGAGGATTAAGGTGGGATTTTAACACCCTTACTAAGGTCACATCCCTGAGCCAATATAAAGGGAATTTCCCTGGGGTGTGGCCTACACCACCTTTTATCTTACAAGAGATAAAAGGAAAGGGAAGCAAGCAGAGAGGGGACCTCATACCACCAAGAAAGCAGCACCAGGAGCAGAGTGCATTCTTTGGACTTAGGGTCCCTGTGCCTGAGAAGCTTCTCAGCCAGGGGAAGATTGATGAAAAGGACCATCATCCGGAGCAGACAGAGAGAGAAAGCCTTCCCCTGGAGTTGACGCCCAGAATTTGGACTTTTAGCCTACTTTATCATAAGGAAATAAATTTCTCTTTGTTAAAGCCATCCACTTGTGGTATTTCTGTTACAGCAGCACTAGATAACTAAGACACTAATCTAGTAGATTGAGTCCTGACTCATTAACATAACTGCCTCCAATCCTGCCTCATTAACATCATAGAGGTATGATTTATAACACTTAGGAATTCAATCAATTCAGTCCATAACACTCATCAAAAGACTTCACCAAAAGAGTAAAAAGAGAACCTACAGACTGGGAAAAAATTTTGGGCTACAACGTATCTGACAAGAGTCTAATCTCTAACACCTCAACAACATAAAGACAAATAATCCAATTAAAAAATGGGCAAAGGATATGAACAGACACTTCACCAAAAAGACATTCAGGTGGCTAACAGACACACGAGGAAATGCTCGCAATCATTAGCCATTAGAGAAATGTAAATCAAAACCACAATGAGATACCATCTCGCCCCCACCATTACTGGCACTAATCAAAAAAACAGAAAATAACAAATGTTGGAGAGGTCACGGGGAGATTGGAACTCTTAAGCACTGCTGGTGGGAATGTAAAATGGTACAACCACTATGGAAAACAATATGGCACCTCCTTAAAAAGCTGAGAATAGAAATACCATACAATCCAGCAATCCTGCTCCTAAGAATATATCCTAGAGAAATAAGAGGCATCACACGAATAGGCATGTGCACACCCATGTTCACTGCAGCATTATTCACAATAGCAAAAAGGTGGAAACAACCTAAGTACCCATCAACAGATGAATGGATAAACGAATTATGGTACATACACACAATGGAATACTATGCAATGATAAAGAACAATGATGAATCTGCAAAACATCTCACAACATGGATGAATCTGGAGAACATTATGCTGAGTGAAATAAGTCAATCACAAAAGGACAAATATTGTATGAGACCACTATTATAAAAACCCAAGAAAAAGTTTACACGCAGAAAAAAACAATCTTTGATGGTTATGAGGGAGGGGAGGGGTGGGGAGGGGAAATCACTAACTAAATAGTAGACAAGTTAACTTTGGTGACGGGAAAGACCACATACAATATAGGGGAAGGCAGCACAACTTGACCAAGGCAAAGTCATAGAAGCTTCACAGACACATCCAAACACGTTGATGGACCGAGTTACTGGGACTGAGGGCTGTGGACCACAGTCTTGAAGGACATCTAGGTCAACTGGCATAACATAGTTCATAAAGAAAATGTTCTAATCCTACTTTGGTGAGTAGCATCTGGGGTCTTAAAAGCTTTTGAGCAGCCATCTAAGATACATCCATTGGTCCCGTCGTGTTTGGAGCAAAGGAGAATGCAGAAAACCAAAGACACAAGGAAAATACTAGTCCAAAGTACTAATGGGTCACGTGAACCACAACCTCCACTAGCCTGAGCCCAGAAGAACTAGATGGTTCCCGTCTCTACCACCACTGACTGCTCTAACAGGGATCACAATAGAGGGACCTGGACAGAGTGGGAGAAAAATTAGAACAAAATTGAAATTCACAAAAAAAGACCAGACTTACTGGTCTGTCAGAGACTGGAGGAACCCTGAGACTATGACCTCCTGACACCCTGCTAACTCAGAACTGAAGCCACTCCCAAAGCCCAGTTTTTAGACAAAGATTTTCAGACAAAGATTAGACAGGACTATAAAACAAACAATAACACACTGAGGAACTTGCTGCTTAGTTTAATCAAAAGACCAAATGGGCAACACCTTCCCAAAAGCAAAGACGAGAAGGCAGGAAGGGACAAGAAACCTGGATGAATGGACACGGAGAACCCAGGGTGGAAGGGGAAAGGGGGAGAGTGCTGACACATTGCAGGGATTGCAACCAATGTCACAAAACAATTTGTGTATAAATTTTTGAATGAAAAACTAATTTATGTTGCAAACTTGCACCTAAAACACAATAAGAAAAATTATTTTTAAAAAAATGTTAACGGGCCTCTTCCTGTAAGCGTTACAGCCGTAGTCCAGAGCACTTGACTTGGGAAGCATACAGAAGAGGATTTCAGCCCTTCTTTGCCCTCTCAGCATCCTCATCCCTCAAAATCAGCTGTCTCCTCCACCCCCTCCAAACAGGCCCCACCAGCCTGAACTTAGGTTCCAGATCTGCACGCACATCAATATACAAACCCATGTACTTGCCTGTCCTGAGTCCCATTTCTTGCAATATTTGACTAGACATAATCTGACAATTTTGACTAGTGGGCAGTAACAGCCTAAAAGTAAATGATGTTTGGGAGACACCTTAATGGAATTCCAAGAAAACAATCTGCCATGATTGCAAAGGAGTGAACTCAATGTGGTAAATATCAGGCCTAGGGCAGGCAGGTGGAAGGGAATGGGGTGGGGGCTCCAATTCTCAAACTCCTGAGTGGGGAGAGAGGCCTCTTTCACCCTCCCACAGAGTATAGTCCTCCTGCAGTCAGCCTTCACGCTGATACCTACATGCTCTTCAAAGATCATGCTAGAGTCTTCCACTTCAGACATCTGGGCTTCTTGGTTGGACAACCCTTGATACGTATGGTAGGTTGAAAACTGGTCTCCCAAAGATATATCCACATCCTAATCCCCAAAATCCTGTGAATGTGACTTTATTTGGGGAAGAAAAGGTCTTTGCAGATGTAATTAAGGATTTTGAAATGAGGAGATTATGCGGGTGGGCTCTAAATGCAAGCATAAGTGTCCCATAAGAGAAAGGCAGAGGGAGACTTGACACGCACAGAATATGAGTAGGCAATGTGACCATGGAAGCAGAGATGACCATTGGAGTGATGCAGCCACAAGCCAAGGAAAGCTGGCAGCCACCAGAAATGAAGAGGCTAGGAAGGGTCTCTCCCCTAGAGCCTCCAAAGGGAGCACTGCCCTGCCAACACTCTGATTCCAGCCCAATGAGGCTGATTTCAGACTTTTGGACTCCAGAACATTTCTGTGTTTTTGGGCACTAAGTTTGAGGTAATTTGTCATAGCAGCCTTGGGAAACTAATATAGTGAGGGTCTCACCTCTGCCATCTACTAGCTATTCGACTTTGGCCAGTACTAAATCTCTCCCGTTCCCAGCTGCCCCATCTATGAATGTGGGTTATAACCCCCACACCCTCATAGTGAAGGTCAAACAGTTCTGTGAAGGTGGCTGGTCAAGCGCCAGCCCAGTCCATCCATACCTCACAGGTGCTGGCCTCCATCTCACATAGAGGAGGGCTGGGTAGCTGGCCCTGGCTAAGGGCTGCTATGGCTGAAGGGGGAGGGGACAGAAGCCTTCTTGCTTCTCCCCAACTTCTCTCCTTAATGAAATTGGCATTTTGAGTCAAGAAGAAGAGTGCTTAGATCCTAATTCTTTCTTTTACAAAAATAGGTGGATGGTTAGGGCGCCATATTTCATAAAGGAAACTGTGAGCTTCGGACTTCTGATAAATCTCCTCTGGTCTAAGGTCCAAGCAGATGAGGAGGGACTAAAGGAGGGCTGTGACCAAGCTCATCACTTCCACAAGGGCTCAGTGGCAGGGATGTTAATCACGGGGCCAGCCACAACCCCAGTCCAGTAACGTCTGAGGCCACCTTTGTACCATGTGACCCCAGCTCCATCAGGCAGAGCTGATTGGCCTAGTGAGGTCACCTGACCCATAAGCAGCCAATCAGTAGGCAAAGCTAGGATGTGGTGAGCTGAGCCAATCAGAGTCCGTCTCAGGAACTTGAAATGGGAGTACACGGAGCCGCAGGGAGCTGAGCTTAGCGGATGGCGGAAAAGAAAGACAGAGGGATGTAAGACGAGAGATTGAGGAGTCGTGGAGAGTTGAAGTGTTGAGGAAGCAGGGGTGCTGAGAATGTAGAAGCTAAAAGGCAGAGAAAAGATGTAGAAACCTCCTTGTTTGGGAGGTTTTAGCAAGATTGGCAAGAGCATATAGTGAGTTTCCTTCGTGGCAGAGGATTTTTTTTTAAACTCCACTAAACATATATATCTACAGACTCCAGCTGCTGAGGTGCCAGGAGCCATCTTGGATTTAGTTCCAGACGGAGGGTCCTGGCTGCCTGATGGTTCCTGTTCATGTACATCAGTCAGATTTATCCTACCCCTCGTCTATCCCCCACACACCCAAGTAGCTGAGGTTAACTGGAGTTAGACTTGGGTTCCTGCAATGAAAAGAGCCCAAAGAACACAGCCCTCAAAAAGAAAATGAGAGAAAACCACAACCGGACCAAGGCACAACCTGGTGTCACCAGGAATAGAGTTCACACCAGGTCATTCTTGTTGCATTTCCCTCAATAAAATCTTCCATCACTGGGCTTTATTTTATTCTGTGAAAATAAGCCTTATTATAAAACAGAATGAAATCCATAAAACAAACCCCAAACCCTCTAGCAAAACGAGATCCCCTCAATTTTGAAAGTCACTGCTGACAAGGCAGTGTCTTCAAATTATTGTTTTTGCCGTTTGTTTCTTGAGAACATGATTCCAATGAGGCCAATGGCTGCCAGGCCCACTCCGGCGATGCCGGCTGTCATGACAACATCTCTGACCTGCAAAGAAAAGAGAGGGAGTCAGACTTTATGTCAGGAATCTGAGCACAGGCTGTACATTCAACCCAAACCCAATACCCAATGCCAGTGAGTTAATTCCGACTCATAACAACCCTATAGGACAGAGTAGAAAGGCCCCATCGGGTTTCCAAGGCTGTAATCTTTACAGAGGCAGATTACCACATCTTTCTCCCTCGGAGTGGCTGGTGGGTTCAAACCTCTGAACTTTAGGTTAGCAGATAAGCGCTTAACCACTGTGCCACCAGGGCTCCTTATACATTTTAACAGAGACATTAAGTTCAGGTCACCTCACATGCCCCCTTGGCCTCCCCAGCCACACTCAAGAGTCAATAAATATTGGCAGGGAAGAGGGGAGGAGAGGGCCAGGTGAGGAAGAATCAGTGGATGGAGTCAGCTGGCCTGGAATTCACATGAACTGGAGGTGGGAAACTTTCTTGGCCCTGTGGGTATTTAAAGCACATAAATCCCCAGAGGGTGACTGTGGAAAAGACAGGGAGACAGTGCCATGATGGCCAGCTAGGAACATGAGGTAAGTGTGAAGTAGAGGAGAATTGCTATTATGAAAACTCAATGAGCTGTGACCACCAGGAGAGCAAGGACCTCACCTGTCTTGTCACTGCATCCCCAGTGCTCAGTCTACCAGGCACAGAGGCACACTTCACATATTAAGTAACTGACTCAAATATGAATGATGGTGATGTGCTTAAAGTTATTAGGATATCTGACTTGTATTGACTGTCAAACTAAACCAAAAAACTCATTGCCATCGAGTCGATGCCGACTCATAGTGACCCTACAGGACAGAGTAGAACTGCCCCATAGGGTTTCCAAAGAGTGGCTGGTGGATTCAAACTGTCGACCTTTCAGTTAGCAGCCGTAGCTCTTAACCATTGCACCACCAGGGCTCCAGATTGACTGCAGTAGTAGAAAAAGGGAGTTTGAAAGGTAAGAGTAAACTTCAGGGTAAAAATTGAATATATGTCAAATTTCACTCCCTTCTGAAACTCTGAAACCCAGTAAGTAAAGGAAAGCATTTGTTGTAAGTGTAATTACACAAGGATGAAGAGAACAAAAGAAAAGACAACAGCAGAAAAATGTGGAAGCTATAAAATAGATGGAAAAGTAATAACTGACTTAGCAGACCCAGAAAACCCTAAAGCCGAAGGCAGCAATAGAAAAAGCTGAGTGTCAATCCTATTTATACAATCAACCAAAAAAAAACCAAACCTGTTGCCCTCGAGTCAATTCCAACTCATAGTGACCCTATAGGGCAGGGTAGAACTGCCTCATAAAGTTTCCAAGGAGCACCTGGTGGATTTAAACCGCCAACGTCTTGGTTAGCAGCCATAGCACTTAACCACTACGCCACCAGGGTTTCCATTTATACAACAGAATCCTCAAAAAGGATCACATACTGGCAACCATAGTTACCTCTGAAAGTGGGAGGGAAGAGAGAGAGCTTCAGTTAAGTCCATGAACCTCCTTCCCTACCCCAGCAAAAATCTGAAAGTTTATTCTCTGGAGAGTGTAAAACAGAGTATTTGGGGGCATGGAAATCTAGAATCTCATGTAAAGATATGGGTATTTTACCATAAACAAAAGGATTGAGAGACCATAAAAATGCTAAGGTGAGACTCCCAGCCCTACTATCCCTCTCTACTCCCAGAACTTTACCTCTTAGCAGGAGTATTAGAAGACTTTTCTGGGAATCTGACCAGCCCAAGTGGCAACAACAAAAGATGCCAATTTTGGGAGTTTGCAGACAAACAGACCACCCAGATAACATTGCAGTGAAAACTCAAAGTCAAAAAGCCACTGGTCGCCTACTCAGTCAGAGCTTCCATTCACTACCGAGTTAACCATGAGCATACCACCAAGGATACCAGACATCGGAGGAAGGCCTCTAAAATAGAAGACATAACAAACAGAAATAATCTGGAGAAACACAAACCATACTTAGCAGCCAGAACTCAGATGACAAAGTTTAGATGAAGCTACAGACCTGGAGCTCAACTGCTGGTCAGTCTTTAAACCTTCCTCTAAATGGGAATTTGACAGAGTTTTTTGGCAGCAGTGGTTCTGTTGGGTTAACTTGCTAGAGAACCTGCATAAAATCACTTATATCCAGCGTTTTCTTTACTAAGCTATGTGTCAGGGAGAAATGGTTTGCAGATAATGGAGGAGGAACAATATGTCCCTAGTTCTGTACAGAAACTCATAGTGGGAGAACAAACGCTGATGCAACTGGTTCATACAAAAGTTACTTTGTCAAGGAAAATAACAATGACCTTATTGTTTGTGGAGTGCAAATTTTATGGGGAAAACGATCTGCCAACAAGAGTCAGCGCTACCTTCAAATGCCATTGATAATTTTCTTGTTGCAAGGCTGATGGGTCCAGCCCCGACACTGTCCTGACATTACAGGATTTCTGATCATGAAGAAGGGCTACATGGTATGGGTCACAGATCTTAAATCAGAATATTATAAGAGAGAAAAAATGTCCCTCATTAGAAATGCTAAGAAATCTTTTTTAAAAGCGGGCAAATTGAAATTTGATCAGACCGTATACATTTAGCTATTTATGCTACACAGCTTCTCTGAGCTAAGTCACAGTTTAATGAAGTCTGACTTGTTTCTGGAAAAAGGGAAAGGCTAACATTCTTCCTTCACTATCAGCAATGTTGCAAGTGGATAAAAGAGGAAGTTGAGAAAAGCAGTGTTATTCCGAAAGCAATTGAATTTAGACCATGAGAGGTTACAAAATAAGAATGATTATAAAATATTTGTATAGAAATATGGTTTCATTTACAGCAATTTTAAAATAACATCCCACAATTTATCCAGATTGATGTAATATACAATGTAATATATGTAATATCCATATTGCCACTGACCTCATCTTCAATTTGTATTTCTCTTATTATTTTATCTGGCACAGACTAGACTTCATTTAAGTATAGCTGCCAGATTGCTTTTTTTTTTTTTTAAAGTACTATTCAGTATGAAGACTTCATGTCTTAGTCATCTAGTGCTGCTCTAACAGAAATACCACAAGTGGATGGCTTTAACAAAGAGAAATTTATTTTCCCACAGTCTAGTAGGCTAGAAGTCCAAATTCAGAGCGTCAGCTCCAGGGGAAGGCCTTCTCTCACTATTGGCTCTGGAGGAAGGTCCCTGTCTTCAATCTCCCTGTGGACTAGGAGCTTCTCTGCACAGGAACCCTGGGTCCAGAGGACACGCTCTGCTCCCGGCACTGCTTTCTTGGTGGTATGAGATCCCCAATTCTCTGCCTGTTTCCCTTTCTTTTTATCTCTTGGAAGAAAAAAGGTGGTGCAGGCCACACCCCAGGGAAACTCCCTTTACATCGGAACAGGCATGTGACCTTAGTAAGGGTGTTATACAATCCCCACCCTAATTCTCTTTGACATAAAATTACAATCACAAAATGGAGGACAACCACACAATACTGGGAATCATGGCCCAGCCAAACTGATACACACATTTCTGGGGGGACATAATTCAATCTATGACACTACTCTTCAAAAGATTGCTAAACATATTTTTTAGGTAGGTTGAAATCAGAGTGTTTTCAGCATAAGTTTCTCTTTTTTATACTGATATTGTCACTACTACATTTTTAAACTTCTATTATTTTACAATACTCTCAGCCATGTGAAACACAAACTATAGATTAAATCCATTGCGTCCCTTTCTTACTTGGAAGTTAGATGAGCCACAAGCATTCTATGGAAGGAAGATCTAGTCTGTTGTTTCAAAGAACCCAGCTCAAATAAAAATAAGGACTGACAAGATTCTTTAAAACAAACACAATGTCCTTGTGAGTGAAACAAAAAGGAGAGTGGCTGCTTTGACAGCTCTTACAGAGCACCACCAGACATTTGCCGGTTTCTACTAAATCCATCACCTCGGGTGAGGTTGGACACATGTAGAAGCTGTATTTTAATTTGGCTCATAGCGTGTGTTATGATCATTACTCAGCACGTCAGCGGTTCTCAATCTGGTAGGGTTTTTCCCTGTAGGGAAAATTTGGCAATGTCTAGAGACATCTTGGGAGTCTCTGGGTTAAGTGCTCAACTACTAGTCGAAATGGTGGTGGTTTGAACCCACCAGAGGCATCTCGGAAGACAGGCCTGGCGATCTGCTTCCAAAAGGTCACAGCCTTGAAAACTCTATGGGGCAGTTCTACTCTGCACACATGGGGTCGCTATGAGTTGAAATCAACTCCATGGCAACTAATAACAGCAACAGACATATCTTTGTTTCTTGCAAATGAAGGAAGAAGGTGTGCATTGTGCTACCGGCATCTAATGGGTAGAGGCCGTGGATGCTGCTAAACATCCTACAATAAATAGGACAGCCCCTGACAATGCAGAATTTTCATGCCAGAAGTGTCAGCAGTGCCAAGGTTGAGAAACTCTCATCCCAGGTCAAGAAATGAAAGAGGAAATCTTTGGAAACTGTACAGATGACACCTCTGTTTGTTCTGTATTATATTCTCATTTAAGTTCTGTGATGGGATCAAGTAGAATTATTTATGCTGTTTTATTGTTGTTGTTGCAGTTATTTGCCTCTTTCAGGTAGATGAGAAGGTACAGAAGGCTAAAGCCAGAGAAAGAAAAGTGTGATAAGTCTGATTTGTATTGTTTTGTTTTGCAAGAAGAGGTGAATTATTGTTTATAAAAAGAGTAAATGGTAGAAAATATTTCTTCGTTCTTTTGCTATCTCAAGATTTGGAATTTTATTTGATTCCTCTAAATATTACCTGTGCCTGGGGACATATGTATTTTAGTAAATTCTGTAACAATTTTGTGTTGACAGAAGAATGCTCTACTGATATAAACTTGTAAATTCGTTCTTCATTTTATTAATAATCGCAGAAAGAATAACTAGAAATTAGGTGACTAAGATATATTTTGTAAATCCATCAAATCTTCCTAGTGTAGGGCCCTGAATTTCATAGAGTATCTTACTTCCCAAGCTTGTATGGTAATCTAGATTTAAGGTTTATTGATGATGTTGTTGTTGTTGTTGTTGTGTGCCGTTGAGTCAATTCCGACTCATAGGGACCCTACATGACAGAGTAGAACTGTCCTATAGGGTTTCCTAGGCTGTAATCTTTACAGGAGCAGATCGCCAGGTCTTCTCTCCTGTAGAGCCACTGGTGAATTTGAACTGCCAACCTTTTGGTTAGCAGCCAAGTGTTTAACCATTGCACCACCAGGACTCCTTTTGATGACAAGAGTATGGAAATTTGCCCGAAGTGGAAACCATATATGAACTAAGGCCTTGATTCTTATGAAATATCACCATCAATGAAATCAGATTGTTTTCAGCAAAAGTTTCTCTTTTTTATCCTGATATTGTCATTGCTACATTTTTAAACTTCTATTATACCTTAATCTACCAATAAATGTTAATTTTCTAATTAAAAAACAAAATAAACAGAAAACAGGAGAGAGAAGAAAAGAAAATTAGAGGAGCAGTCTAAAGGTCCAAACTAAAAAAATCAAATCCATTACCACCGAGTCAGTTCCAACTCATGGAGACCTCATGTGTTACAGAGTAGAACTGAGCTCCATAGCATTTTCTAGGTTTTACAGAAGCAAATCATCAGGCCTTTCTTCCACTGTGCCACTGGATGAGTTTGAACTAAAGGTCCAACACCCAAATAATAGGCGTTCCAAAATGAGAGAAGAGAAAATTGAAAATTTCCCAGAACTGAAGGAAGTGAGTTCCCAGATTGAAAGGGGTCATCAAGTGCCCAGCACAATACATGAAAATAGACCTATACAAGGCATATTATAGTGAAATTTCAGAATATTGGGGATAAAAAGAAGATTCTATAAGCTTCTAAAAGAAAAAGTAGAATCAAAAATCAGAACAGCTTCAGACTTCTCAACAACAACAGCGTAAGCTAGATGACTATGGAACAATGCGTTCAAAATTCTGAAAAAATTATTTCCAACCTAGAATTCTATACCAGCCAAACTATCGATAAATTTGAGGGTAAAATGAAGACATTTTCAGACATGCAAGGTCTTTAAAATTTTACCCCCCATGCACCCTTTATCAGGAAACTATTAAAGGAGGTATTCTGCTAAAACAAGGGAATAAACCAAGAAAGAGAAAGATGTGAGCTACCGAAAAAATAAGCATTAATTCAGGAGAGAATTAAAAGGAATTTCTAGGATGCTGGTGAAGAATGATACAAAGATGACAGCTATGGACCAAGTGTAACTCAAGCGAAAAACGTTTTGAAAGTTGTTATCCCCAAGAGACTTATGTGCAGGGTGCCATCATCCCCCAGATCCCTTCTATCATTATACCATCTTTTTAACCTGAAAATATACAGGTACTGATGAAGTTCCTCTTATGGCCCTGCCCACTGAGTTCCTCAGATGGAAGCTCTTATGAACTCTCAGGGAAGTTTAATCGAGATCGTGACCTGTAGACCCTGGAGTTTTCATCAAACATTGCCACAGCAAGAGACAGAAAAGGCGACATAATCCAGAGACTGCAAAAGCCTGAGACAGAAGAACTAGATGGTGCCTAGCTACCACCAATGACCACCCTGACAGAGAACACAACAGAAGAGTCCCTGTTGGAGCAGGAGAAAATTGGGGTGCAGAACTCAAATTCTAGTAAAAAGACCAGACTTAATGGTCTGACTGAGACTGGAGGAACCCCGGAAAGCATGGCCCCCAGACTCTGTCAACCCACCACTAAAACCATTCCCAAGGCCAACTCTTCAGTCAAAGATTAGACTGGACTATGGGACATAAAATGATACTCATGAAGAGTATGCTCTTAGCTCAAGTAGATACATGAGACTAAATGGGCAGCTCCTGTCCGGAGGTGAGATGAGAAGGCAGAGAGGGTCAGGAGCTGGTTGAATGGACATGGGAAATCTGGGGTGGAAAGGAGGAATGTGCTGTCACAGTATAGGGAGAGCAATTAGGGTCACATAACAAGTATGTATAAATTTTTGTATGAGAGACTACCTTGAATTGTAACCTTCACTTAAAGTACAACAATAAAATAAATAAAAAATCATTGGCAATGTTACCCTTTCCTTACCTAGCTAGATGTGTATTTGGTACTCAGTTTTTAAATTAAGTACCTTTCACATTCATATATATGTAAATAGTTGTTGAAGAAGAATAACACATTTGACTGAAGGAAAAACAATAAAAAGATACCCATTGGAAGAGCTCTAATATCTCACAGTAGAGAGAAGTAGGAACCAGCTAGCCAACATGGGGTCAGCGTAGTACACACAGCTGATTGTCAGCAGTGTGAGGGAAAGCTGAGAGCAATCCTTGCAGGTGATGTTGGTGAATGCCTCCCTGTCCAAGTCACTGTGGCCCAAAGAGGCCAGTGGAGGGGGCACTGGGTGAACCAAGCAAAAAAAAAATGAAGATGAGGACAATTATAATGACTTTTACTACTACAACGTATTACGTGCATGTTCTGAGTCAGCACTGTGCTAAGCATAAACGTGCTCATGTTTAATTCACACAGTAACCCTCTGAAGTCAGTATTATCACTGGTACTTTACCAAGGTTTCGGGAGTTTGAATAACTGTTCCAAAGTCATACAGCTAGCAAGAGGCAGAGCCCAGATCCACCCCATAGCTGATTCCAGGAGCCCACGCTCTTGACCACCACACGGACCAAGGAAGAAGAGACCAGTGCTCAGATATAAAAATAAATGACCTGACAGACTTAACCTTAACAGTTCATTGAAAAAAAAAAAAAAAGTTCATACTCTCCTGCATCAAGAAGCATCTAAGAACTTTTCCAAACAATGTTCTTACCCCTCCCCGCCCCTGCCCCCTCAAAAAAATGTAGAAGTGAGAGAGAATGGGAAAGAAGTTAATTATCCAGGAGAGAAAGAAATTCAAAGAAGAGAGGGGGCAATACTAAATAAATGAACAAAAATCAAACCAAGTAAATGAACAAAATGGTATCCGCCGGGGTCTCCTGGGTTGACCCTTGCATTTCAGCAGGGCTGAGGACAGTGTTTTGTAGAAACGTGATTATGCACCCTCCCACCCACCCTCAGGCTGACACCCCCTGCTCTGCTCAAATGAGGCAACACACTGAACTGCAGTGACTCACTGCTGGTCACAAGAGTCCATATATATACCTACATCAACAGCTGGTCTAACTCAGTATTGCCGCCACACGAGCCCAAGCAAGCGCTAAGAAATAGCAAGCTCACTTTTCCTCTATTGTTTGTATGGCCCTTGTTCCCCCACTCAGGGCTGTAGATGCCCCCAGCCAGGAAAGGCAGAGGAAGAAAGGACTCGGGGAAGAGAGAAATCCAGGAGAGGAGGTTTACCATTCATGGAGATGTAAGACCAAGCACATTCCATCTCTGCTATTCTGGCCTTGTCCATGCCTCTGTCTCCACCCTGGCCCAGCCCACAGCAGAGGCCCAGCCACTGTCAGCTGAGGGAAAGAGCTAGTTTTCCTGGCGATGGGGACACAGACTGAGGACACACCTGGTCACTGCGGGAGACTCCGTAGCGCAGCTCGTTCACGAAGTGCTCACAGTTCTCACTGGTGAGCTTGTAGAGCACCTCCTGTCCCACCAGCTCCTCGGCCCGCTGGATGATTTTGCTGGGAGGTAGTGGCAAGTACTTGTCATCATGCTTGTTATTGACCTGGTACTTGTCCTTCCCAGCCACATCATACAGCAGTTCCTTCTTCACTATGGCCTTATCCGCCAAGGCAGACATGACACTGGCCGCACCAGCTCCAGCGATTTCACCTGTGGATCCACAAAGAGGAAACTGAAGGATTGGTCCTCCCAGGGCCACAGGGGCTGAGCTGGCCCCAGCACCATCCACGAGGGGACGAGCAACATGTAGAAGGGCCAAGGGGATGGGTCGGACCATGCTGTTTGACTTCGGAGAAGGTGCTTGTGGTCTCTGGGCCCTGGTTTCCTGAAATGAGCAGTGTGAAGTTCCATGATTTGCTATAATTTTTTTCATAACCTAGAGAAGCTGACCTTCTGCACCCTGTGACACCTGCGTGGCCCTCTTGATTATGCAAATATGGGCCAAGTATACATCCAAAATTCTTGGGGAACAGATGTGACCCTTTCATGATTCCATCAAGGCTACAACTCCTTGATATAAGCAAAGCCGATTACTGCAGAAAAGGTGGATGGGCTTGGACAAGGAGTCCCCACCCTCCTGGGAGCAAAGGGACCAAACCCCACAGCTGCTTCCTAAGATGTGAAGTGAGTGGGTACACGGGCACAGCCCCAGCCAAGGCCCAGGAGCTGGAAGGAGCAACAAATCTCCAGGAATAAAATCACCTTAAAGAGAAGGAGTCTGGGTTCAACACGAGGACAGGATGGCTGTGAGGGAGAGCTGACACCAGTACAGAGACGGGGCACCCTCCTAGTATGGTGGGAGGAGGAGAGGAAGCTTTGGGCATGATGGCTGAAAAGGTGTCTGTGAACTAAAGAGGTGGAATCCGGGAGCTTTGGGCTGGCATCACGAGAGGTGGCTCATTCTCCCTCAAAGAGCAGCTGTGGCTGTGCACCTATTGAACTGAGCAGGACCAGGCTTCAACTATGACAGCACGTGACAGCAACAAGCAATGGCAGGAGGGACTGATCAGACTCCAGGTCCTGCTCTGCTTGGCCTTCCAAAGAGGACTGAACCCCTTGTCCCAAGTACAGTCCTGGGACTTTGGAAAATCTAAGGGACTCAGACTTGCTACTAAGAGGGCAGGTGGTGCTTGAGGGATTAACTGAAATAAATAAAGGATGCTGTATTTGAGCCCTGAGTTCATGGAAAGGGTCAGCATGGGTACAGAGGGAATGGGACCAGGTGAGCTCCTGAGGCCCTGCCAGGTTCAGCCCCAGGCGGGGAGAGTGGCAGGGCCTGGACTTGTGTGAGGCAAGCAAGATGCCTAGAGCACAAGATTTAAAGAGGCACTCACTCTCAAGGTTGTGCAAGTGCAGGATTTGCACCCAAGAGTGAGGGCCTCCTTAATATTTGTGCCCCAGGTGCTACCCTAGTGAGTGGTACAAGGGTGCACAAGCAAAAGGTCAGAAATCCTGGGTTCTGACTCTGGCTGAGTGGTCTTGACCTGTCAAGTAACCTTGCCGAGCCAACGCTGTGGGAGGACCCAAATACACGCTAAAATTGATACACAAATACACATCTGTATAGCAATTTAATGTTCCTTTAAAAATAATTATCTAAGTAAAAAAAAAGTTAATCTGTTAAAGAAAATGTTAAGCAAACAATCATAGAAATGGCATGGGGATATGGCAAAAAATCATGATGCTAGTAAAGCAATGACTAAATTTTGGGAACCATCCCACTGGGCAGCATAGCATCATGTTCAAGGCACAGAATCAAGAGTCAGACTGCCAGGGTTTGAGTCGCACCTCCACCATCCACCAGCAACATGCCCTTGGGCAAGTTACTTAACTTCTCTGAGCCCCCAATTCCTCAGCTGTAGAACTAGGATGACAATAGTCCCCACCACACGCGGAGCTGCGAGGATGGAAGGAGTTGGCCACATAAAGTACTTTCACGTGCCTGGCACAGGGCAAGTGCTCAGCAAGTGTCACCTGCTGCTATTATTGGAGTTCTTCTCTAGGCTCCCTTCCAACTCTAATCTCTACAATTAGAAATTAGTTTTCTCAGTAGCCTGAGGTCAGTCCTCTTTGCCTCAACCATCTCACAAGATTCCTGTGAAGCTTGAATGAGAAGATGTAGGTAGAGGTGTCTTTTGCCACACACAAGTCACTCTGCAATGTTTCGTGACACACCTATCCACCTGGCTCCCTGTCATGTCTGACCACTGACTCCCATTCACCAAGTACACCTATTTGGTGCAAACAGTCAATGGATACTGGGGGCTACTATGTGCTAGGCCTGTACTAGGTGCTGGAGATCGTGGAATGAGCTAGCCCTTGAGTAGCTCATCGTCCAGTGAGGGGACATTGACAAGGAACAACCAAACAAAATAAGATACTTTAGCATTTTATTTTAAGTACTAAAAGTGCTATGGAGAAAGTTAAGTTGGGTAACAGAGGAGAGGATGACCAAAGAAGGCTTCTCTAGCTCACGTTGGGGAGGAATGGATATTTGAATTGAGACCTGAGTGATGCGGAGATAGCTGTGCTAAGATCCAGAGAAAAGCATCCTCAGCAGAAAGAACAACAAGAGCAAGACCTCAGGAAGGAAGGAGCTTGGCATGGTTGAGGGGCAGCCAGGAGGCCACTGAGGCTGAAGTCTAGAGACCCAGGAGGAAAGAAGAGGAAGATGAGGTTCTGAGATGCAGGCAGAGGCCAGACCACTCCAGGCCCAATAGGTCAGGATATGGACTTTGAATCTTATTCTACATGTGATGAAAAAGCCAACTGAGACTTTAGGAGAAGAGTGACATGGTCTGATTTACACTTTAGAATGATCATGCTGTTTACCCAGTAAGGAGGGACTGAACATGAGAGGGCAAGAGGCAGAGAGATGAGCTGGGGGCTGCGATAGTATCCGGGTGAGAGAGGATGGTAGCTTTTACCACGGGTATAGCAGCAGAGATGGTGAGAAGGCAGGTCTGGGGTCTGCTTTGGAGGCAAAACCAACAGGATTTCCTAAAGGATTAGATATGGGATGAGGAAATGAAGATGACTGCTAGGTTTTGGGCCAGAGTAAATGGATGGTGTCATCTAATGAAATGCAGAAGACAGGGAAGGACAGAAGAGTGGATTTGGGTTGGATGACATCAGGCCTTCCATTTGGGGTTTGTCAAGTTCAAGATGTTGATTAGACACCCAAGGGGAAATGCTAAGTTGTCAAGAGGTTATAAGAGTTTGAAGCTGAGCAAGGAGGCCCAAGCTGAGGGTATGGGCTTAGGATACATCGGTAACTAGAAGGTTTTGGAAGCCTGGGGACCCAATGAGGTCATCTGTGGAGAGTAAGGCCTACGCCCCACTTAGGGGTGTGGGAGAAGAGGAAGAGCCCCCATAAGAGACCAAAAAGGAAGGGCACAATGAGGAAAGAATAAAGGCAGATGCCAGGTGAAGAACAGAGAGAAAGACCACTCATGTCAAATGCTACAGAGAAGCCAAGTGAGCTGTGGTCAGAAAAGTGACCTTTGTTTTTGGCAAGATGTGGACAGTATTTTGGTAACTTTTATAAGAGCCACTCCAGTGGGGAGCAAAAAACACTGCCTGGGTGGAGGGGAATGCGAAGAGAATAGTGTTATGAACTAAATTGTGTCCCCACAAAATATGTGTTGAATTCCTGGTCCTTGTACCTGTGGATGTGATCCTGTTTGGAAATAGGGTTTTTCTTTTGTTATCTTAATGAGGCCATACCAGTGTGAGGGTTGATCCTAAATCTAATCACTTCTGGGATATAAAAAGACCAGAATGGACACAGAGACACACACATGAGGGAAGACAGACACCATGTGAGGATTGTCAACAAGCCAAGAAACAACAAGGAACCAAGCAATGCCTGGGGCTACCAGCAAGGAAGGAATCAACATGGTCAAGACCCTGATTTGGACTTTTAACCTTCTAAACTGTGACAAAATAAATTCCTGTTCTATAATCCACCTACTTGTGGTATTTATGCTACATCAGTGCTAGGAAACCAAGACAAACGGGAAATGAGAAGCCAGAGATGGTGATGGCAGACAATGCTGTAATAAGATTTGCTTTAATGCGGGTTAGCTCAAGAAGGATGTGAGGTCAAGAGGGGTATGTGTTTGTTTTATTAACAGAAGATACTACAGATGTTCCTACGCCAATCGGAATGACCCAACAGAGAAGGAAAAGATGATGATATAGAGCGGATAGGGTATTTGAGGAGCAAAATGCTTATAAAAGTGAAAGGAGCCAATCCAGGGCCCACAGGTAAGAGCTAGCTTTTTAGATAAGGGCAGGGGCACTTTTTGCACTTTAACAGAAGAAAAGGCAGACTCTGTGGCTGTAGATGTTGGTTAACCAGGGGCAAAAGAGATGAGGTCAACTCCGATTACTTCTGATTTCTCTATAAAGTACGGTGTGAGGTTAAAAGTAAAAGGTGGGCAAAAGACACGTTCAAGAATTGTCCATAACAGCTGTATTCATAGTCACCAAAAACTGGAAACCATACGATGTCCATCAGCAGAAGAATGGGTGACAAATTGTGGTATATTCATGTAAGTGGAAAAGACGTCGCAATGAAAAGGTAAGAACTACTGCTAGATACAACCACATGAATGACACTCCTAGAAATGATGTTGAGTTAAAGAAGCAGATACAAGAAAGCAGACAGTGTGAGTCCTCTTACATGAAGTTCTACAACAGGCAAAACTAATCTATGATCAGAGAAGTTAGAATAGTGGTTGCCTTTGGGGAGGGAGGGAGCTATAGAGGAGGTGACCATGAGGGAGCCTTTTTGGGGTCCTGTATCTTGATCTGGGTAATCATTATGAAGATGGATAGATTTTTAGAAATTTACCAATGCAAACCTTATTATATTTCTGCACTTTAAAATATTTATGTTATACCTTAAGTAGAAATTGTAAGAAAATTGAAGAAAAATTCTCCAAGTTAAGTATTTTCAGCCTTATTTTACAGGCAAGGAAACCAAGGCTGGAGGGTAGAAACTGGATTCATAACCAAGTCTGTCTGCCCAAACACCTGTGCCCTTTCCAGGGAGTTTACACCTAAGAGTTGAACCTGTTTTATACAAAGTCATAATACATAAAACACAGAAGAGCAGAGCTACCCCATTGGATGCCCACTTCAGCCCCTCTACAGAAACCCTGGGGTTCCAAGGGGCAAAGTTTGAAAACCACTGCCCCACAACAAGCGGACATCTTTTAACATTCAGGAACCAACAGCCAGTCGGGGAGCAAGGAGAATGTTAGGGTCCCCTGCTACCACAGCTTCCCCATCTCCCTCTCCTCCCAGCCCCTGGGCCCAGCACAGCGGTCCTTACTTGGGGGAGCCAGGTGGACCACATATCCATCGCCAACGTAGATGGCCCAGTGTCTGTAGAAAGGGCGGAAAATCTCAATCAGGTCTCCAGGCCTGGGCTCTGGCTGCAAAACCAAGAACAGGGCTGTTACAGGAGTGGGGAGACTTTGGAAGCAGGGGCTGGATTCGGTTAGGAAGGTGCAGCTCAGCAGCCCCCAACTATCTGCTCATATGGATATATGTCCCGAGCCCTGCCCTGCAAGTCCGATGCTGGTCCCACTTTATAAGCCTGGGCTGAAGACCTGCAGGCACCATGGCCCTGCCCACCTGTCATTCCAAATTGCAAACTGGAAGCTAACAAGTTTCTTTATTAGCTGGAGTCTCTGCCTTACTGTTAGTATTTCTAGGAATATTATTTATTGCACTGTTACTCTGAGTCAAGCACCTGCTAAGTGTTTTACAGGCATTAACTCAATAAATCCACATAACCACCCTATGAGGTGGGCACTATTATGAACTCCATTTTATGGATGGGGAAATCAAGGCTCAGAGATGTGAAAGAAGCTGCTTGTCAGTGACATGGCCAGGATTCTGCAATAGGCCAGCTAATTCCCAGGCCCAGTGTCTTGACCACCACCATCAGGCAAACACCACTAGCTATTTGACTAGAGTTGCCTACCTGGGGTACCTGCCAGGGGCTGCTGAATCAGGAGGCTGTCCCACAGACACTCTGCAACCTGGCTCAGGGCCTGGTTGAAAACTGGTTATCTGTCTCTGGCAGTGATATCCTGCTCTGCTGATAATAAGATGGTGTGAGTAGATATGTGACACAATGTGTCTGCAAAACTGAATGTGTGACTGTGAGCGTGTGTGTAAGAGTGAATGTGCAAGGGTGTGTTGTGAGAATGCATGTGTGAAAGCATGTGTGTAAGGATGTGAGAAGGTGGGTATTGAGGGTGTGCATGAGACAGCATGTGTATGTGTGTGTAAGAGAGTGTAAGATCATACGTGTAAGAACATGCATGTGTGAGTACATGTGTGAGACAGAGATGTGTGAGACAGGTGTGAGAATGCATGTGGGAAATCGTGTGTGAGTGGGCATGTGAGGATATGTGTATTAAGAGTGTGTGTGAAAATACTGGGGAAACCAGCACGACTTGTACAAGGCAAGGTCATGGAAGTTCCATAGACACATCCAAACTCCCTAAGCGACTGAATTACTGGGCTGAAGGCTGTGGGGACCATGGTCTTCAGGAACATCTAGCTCAACTGGCATAACGTAGTTTAGAAAGAAAATGTTCTACATTCTACTTTGATAAGTAGCATCTGGGGTGTTAAAAGCCTGTGAGCGGCCATCTAAGACACTCCACTGGTCTCGCCCCTTTGGGAGCAAGAGAAAATGAAGAAAACTAAAGACACAAGGAAAAGATTAGTTCAAAGGACTGATGGACCACAACTACCACGGCCTCCACCAGACTGAGTCCAGTACAACTAGATGGTGCCTGGCTACCACCACTGGCTGCTCTGACAGGGATCACAATAGAGGGTCCCAGAGAGAGCTCGAGAAAAATGTAGAACAAAATTCTAACTCACAAAAAAAGACCAGACTAGCTAGCCTGACAGAGACTGGAGAAACTCTGAGAGTATGGTCCCTGGACATCGTTTTAGCTCAGTAATGAAGTCAATCCTGATGCTCACCCTTCAGCCAAAGATTAGACAGGTCCATAAAACAAAATGAGACTAAAGGGGCACACCAGCCAGCCCAGGGGCAAGAACTAGAAGGCAGGAGGGGACAGGAAAGCTGGTAATAGGGCACCCAAGGTCAAGAAGGGAGAGTGTTGACATGTTGTGGAGTTGTTAACTAATGTCATAAAACAATATGTGTACTAACTGTTTAACGAGAAGCTAGTTTGTTCTGTAAACCTTCATCTAAAGTACAATAATAATAAAAAAAATTTTTAAATTGTGAGAGTGTATGTGTAAGAACATGTGTGTGTGAGTGCATGTATGAAAGTGTGTGTGAGACAGCTGTGGGAGTGCACATGTGCAATCATGTGCGTGAAAGTCTAAAAAGCCATACTCAAAAAGCTGCACAATTTATGATTCCATTTATCTGGCATTCCAGAATGGGCAAAACCACAGGACAGAAAATTGATCCGTCATTGCCAGGAGGTAGGGGTGAGGAGAGTGGTTGACCCTGAGGGCTGTACAAAAACAGACAGAGGCCATATTTGGCCCATGGGATGTAGTTTTCATACTTCTAATTTTATAATATGATGTCTTGTGTTTCTAATTTTTATTCAGCTGAGTTGGCTCACTGTGTCATTAAGAAATTGTTTTTCTAGATGGATCATGTTGTTGTTGTTGTTAGGTGCTGTCGAGTCAGTTCCGACTCATAGCGACCCTATGTACAAAAGAACCAAACACTGCCTGGTCCTGTGCCATCCTCACAACTGTTGCTATGCTTGAGCCCATTATTGCAGCCACTGTGTCAATTCATCTCATTGAGGGTCTTCCTCTTTTTCACTGACCCTGTACTTTACCAAGCATGATGTCCTTCTCCAGGGACTGATCCCCCCGACAACTTGTCCAAAGTATGTAAGACGTAGTCTCACCATCCTTGCTTCTAAGGAGCATTCTAGTTGTACTTCTTCCAAGACAGACCTGTTCATTCTTTTTGCAGTCATGGCGTATTCAATATTCTTTGCCAACACCACAATTTAAAGGCGTCAGTTCTTCTTCGGTCTTCCTTATTCATTGTCCAGCTTTCGCATGCATCTATGATGCAAGTGAAAACACCATGGCTTGGGTCAGATGCACCTTAGTCTTCAAGGTGACTTCTTTGCTTTTCAACACT